GCCCAGCAGCAGCCCCAGGGTCCCCCCAGTGAGGAAGAGGACTTGTGTTAGTGTCCCCACGCCTGGTTCGTACAGGCTGGCGGGTGTCCTGGGGGTTTCCAGCGAGGAGTGTGTTGGGGAGCGCTCCTGGGTGTGGCTGCTGGGTGGGAGGGGAAGGCAGGGTCAGCAGGCCCTGGGGCGACCGGAAAGTGGGTGGCCGTTCAGATTCATGGCACTGGAACAAGGGGGCTGGGTCCTCCTGCCCACCAGGCCCGTCATTGGCTACAGCGAGCTGGCTCCTGGACCCACGTCCTTTGGACCAGGGCCGCCCTGAGGGCTGGCGCAGCTACGTTCTCCACCGTGGCCCCATCCTCGCCACTGGAGAGAGAGCCGCCTTTACTCCTGCATGAGCAGGAGTTCGAGGAACATCTGGACGACCAAAGGGCACCAGGAGGTAGCACAGCAAAAAAGGCCAAGAGCCTGTTTTCTTTACCGATGGCTGGCAGCAAATACTCCAAAAGAAACAGGTGTCAGGCAAGAAGTGTTGGTTCACGGCGGTCATTCCACTGCTTTGGGATCCGAGGCAGGGGCATCACTTGCCCCAGAAGTTTGAGACCAGCCTGGGCAACGTAGTGAGACCCCTGTCTCTACAAAAAAATTAAAATCAGTAAACAAGTCTTCCTTCCTCAATAGCCCCGTTGCTGGCACACCTCTCTGCCTCTCCAGATGTGAGGCAGATCCACACGTTTAGCTATTGAGATAAGGCTGGGCGTGGTGGCTCACACCTGTCATTCCGGCCTCAGATCTCTTGTGCCCAGGAGTTTTAAGACCAGCCTGGGCGACATGGCTGGCAACATGGCCTCCACAAAAATAAATTAAACATTTTAAATATATAAACATTGAGATAATAAAAAGCATCTTAATGCCTGCCTTCATTTTTTGTCTTCTGTTTTAAGGACCATTAGAGACAAACTAAAGAGAATTCTCCCTCCCATGCAGATCATGCCGGGACACCGGCACTGTAAGACAGCTCCCGTGGCCAGAAAGAGGGTGGTGTGTAAACCGGGTGGTCACCCGTCACTCGGCTTCTCGCGTGCTGGTGAGGGTGGTCGCCTGTCCATGGGTCAGGGCTCACACCTGGCCCATCTGGTGCTGTGCCACGGGAGGGGCAGAGCCACAGCCCCCAACTTGCTGTACGTTTCCCGTGTCCTCCCTGCCCTGCAGTCCCCTGGCCCCAGCTCTGGATTTGACGCCCCCTGCTTCCTGCTGTACCCGCCTAGAGAAGCGCAGCATGTGTGCCTGCCCTTGCCCCCATGCTGTTACCCTGCTCTGGGTACCAAGGACACAGGCACAGCAGAGCCCCCACCCTCAAGGCACCTGCCATCTTGTGAGAGGGACAGGCTGAGGGGCAAATGACCGGAAAGGGTGGCAAGTGCCATGTCAGGCATATGGTCTTCATACAGGGGATGTCCCAGGACTGCTGGGCCAGAGACCCTTCCTTGTGGGTCAGCATCACCGAAGCCAAAGGCCAAGGAGGTCCCTTGGGGGTTGTGGCCATCAGAACAAAGCTGCCAATGAACAGACCCTTAAAGGAGTGGCCAGCTAGTGAGGCTGTGACTGGCCCTGGCTGCATCCAGACCCTAAAGTGTCCTGGAGCCAGGGGCAGACACAGGTTTTGTGGGGCCTGAGGCGTCTGTGGTTTTAGGGAACTTCCTTAAGAAAATACAAAATTAGGAACAGGCCTTGAAGCTTCTGTTGCCAAACTTAGGGTCAGGTGAACCCACTGCCAACTGTGCCCAGAAGACAGCCCCCCAGGCTGAGTCAAAAGTGGTTCTCATAGGCCGGGCGTGGTGGCTCACGCCTGTAATCCCTGCACTTTCGGAGGCCAAAGTGGGCAGATCACGAGGTCAGGAGATCAAGACCATCCTGACTAGCATGGTGAAACCCCGTCTCTACTAAAAAAATACAAAAAAAAAAAAAAAAAAATTAGCCAGGCATGGTCGCAGGCACCTGTAGTCCCAGCTACTGGGGAGGCTGAGGCAGGAGAATGGCGTGAACACCGTAGGCAGAGCTTGCAGTGAGCCGAGATCGCGCCACTGCACTCCAGCCTGGGTGACAGAGTGAGGCTCTGTCTCAA